GTAGCATTAGCACGGTTGCCACTTCGGTAAAATGTTACCAAAATTTATAACCTTTATTCTCTTTGGTAATTTGGTAACTTCCGATTTCATTAGGTAACTTTCAGACAAAATGTTAAAAAAAATTAATTTGAATATCATATAATATCTGCGGCAGAGTTACATACACGCAACTAAGTTCTTATTGAATGAATTTGTTTTTGATAATAGATTTATGATTGGCGATTTGCACATACATATCTACATACACATCTGCCATGAGGAGCTAGGGTCATGGTGTAGGCTGCGGTCTTTCAAATTTAGATGGTTATTATTTGAGTTTTTCCATCAAAAATTGTCTGAACGACATGCAGTGAAATACAAGACGAGATTTTATTATCAACCTGTGGCATAACGAAGCTATCCTTGCCTCAAACGAGATTTATTTTCGTTATACATAGTAGTTTGTTTAAAATGTTAAAGTTATTTTATTGATTTAAAGTTTTTTTAAAATTGCTTTAAAAAATAAAAATTGGTCATGAAATATATTTAAATTAAATCTAATAACAATACAAGGAATTGGTCCAAAGGGGTGAAAATCTATAAATCAATGACTTCACAGGATCTCCAATTTTAATTTGTGTTCTGCCACTCTCTGATTCCGAAAGTCGAGTAATTTTTTTTCCTGCGGACAAGCTTTCAAGATTTTTGCAATTTATCTTTATTCAGATAAAAAAGTGGTTCCACTTTAGAAACTGTACTGCAAATAAAAATAGTTTTCTTTCGCTTGTAAAAAAGTGCATATTTTTTAAAGTAATTTTGAAAAGTTTTGGACAGGTTTTTCACATTGAACTTCTACAGCGTAAGGCTGTTAATGGGGACAAAATTATAAAAATAAAAGAGTTTTTGTAAATTCTTTAGTGATGAAGTCAAGCCATTATTTATGATAATCGATAGATAAATAAAACAGTTGAGTGGCATCTTTTATATAAGCTCGAAAGTGTAAATGTAACGCCCGTTGTTTATTACAAAATAAAAAAGGTTTTGGTAACTTTTTGGTAATCTTTTTAAAAAATATTGATAACATTTTTTCTAAGTGTGTGGCTACTGTGAGCATTAGGGCAAAAACATTTACTTGTATTTTGTTGTTGCTTCTGGTCTCTAAAGTTAGTTTGTTCCAGTATTATTCGGGCAAAAACCTGTGGAACTGTCAAACTACGATGTTACTCTCTAAAGTGAGAGTAAGATGAGAACAGATGCAGAAGTGTACGGGAACGCAAAAAGGACTGATTCATGCACAAGCGTCAGTCGGTTTGTTTAATTGTCATTGGTACAATACTGATTTGGCGGAAATATCAGTAAATAATTAATAAAATATATACAATTAAGAATAATTGCGTACATATTCAAATATTTCGTTGTTTACTTCCATCTTTGCTTGCACCGCGTTCTGAGAATAGATGCAGAAGTGTACGGGAACGCAAAAAGGACTGTTTCCTGCACAAGCGTCAGTCGGTTTGTTTGCATGTCATTGGTACAACACTGATTTGGCGGAAATATCAGTAAATAATTATTAAAATCTACACAATTAAGAATAATTGCATACATATTCAAATATTTTGTTGTTTACTTCCATCTTTGCTTGCACCGCGTTTTGTTTTTGTTTACAGATGCAACCCTGGCTGTCGTTTGACACTTTTCATGAACTTGCAGGAAGAAAAACTTCGGGAAAAATCCTGTAACTTCTGACTGAGAGAGATGCTCCTTTACGCGCTCAAAAGTGTTCCCAGTGAGAGAAATTCTTGCTCACGGCAACGACTTCCTGTAATTTCATACTAGCTTTAAAAGCTCAGTTAGCCTAGACTTAACTTAAATTAACTTACCGTAAGAAATCATCAATGATTACTCAACACGTCAACTTAAGCCAAGAGCGGAAATATTTTGTTTTTGTATTTTCTCTTTCAGCTGTATAACAGTTCGCCGCCTAAAATGCCATATCAAAAAAATCATGCAAACAAAAACGTTTGCTTTCATTTATTTTTAAGAAATACAAAAACGAGAGTCTGGCAAGCCTGATTCTCTCACCGCTCTCAATTTCCGTAAGACCGTAACTTAAGAACCTAAATTCTACAGGTTCTTACACCCCTATTGCGAATGTCGACTGGCAGTAGATAAACGACTGTTAAGCGATTATAGATTATCGATGATATTGTGAGTGTCGCTTAGTCGCTCAATTAGCGACTGTGAATACATTTTAATAGCTCATCCTTCTATTGCTGTTTTTTAGTCGTTGGAGTTTGCGTTTATAAAATTTACATAAGTGGTATTATAATGGATAGAAAGTAAATCAATTGATCTGTAAGTTGTAAAAAATTGTGAAATATACATATGTATGTATGTGTCTGAATTACATATCAAAAAGTGTAAGCAACAAAAGGCAACTTGCCCGGTTGGTGGAGCTGATGTGGGAGAATGAGGACATAGGCAAGTGAAAGGTGTACAATATTTCTCCGGCTACGCCATCCACAGTATTTTTGCGCAGAACCAACATCAAAATTTACGAAAAAACTGCATAATTTATTAATTAACTAGTGCTCGGAAATTTGAAATCTTTATTTTAAATTAAAGTTTAATTCTTTCACTACACTTGTATGTTAAAGTTTTTAAACTAGGGTCTCGCGTTTGGACACAAATATCCAATATCATTGTGCAAATAACTAAACCGTACCGTATTTCTTAAATTTCCATAAAGTTTATTAATGAAGAAAACAGCTTTTCCTGCAAATGCTGTAGAACCTAAACACCGTGAGGCATCGGGAACGCAACTTCTATTCATAAAATTACATATGTATGTACTTACACTTCATCTTCCAACTCCAAGGGATCCGACGAATCTCGTAATTCTCTCTTTGCTTTAGCCAACTCTACTAATCAATTAGCTACCACATCATCCTCCTCATCACTAAACCATATTTCAGCTGTGTAGATCTTTTAAATTTTATAATAAAAGCAATTATTTTAAAAATTATGTAAATGAAATACTAAAGAAACAAATGTAAACAAACAAACAGCTGTTTAAAATTCAGTCAACCATTCACAATAGTACAAATTTTTATCGATCAAGTTACACACTAGCAAAATATGAGATGATCGACTCGATCGACAAATTTCTATTCTACTGCCAGTCGACACTCGCAATAGGGGCCTTAAGTTTCTTACAATAAGTTAAGTTTTAACTAACCGCCAACACAGTTTCTCATATAACACGTTGGCCAAAATATTAAGTTAAGTTACGGAAATTAAGTCTAGACTAACAGAGCTTTTACCATGATAAAAAACATAGGAAGGTAGAACCGCTGAGAGGAATTTTTCAAATTCTTGACGTTTGCAAGCAATCTAATTTTAAATTTTACACACAAACCCACACACAAATTCTCATTTTCAATCTCAAACAACTAACTTTGAACAATTCCTTTTTTTATTCTCAATTTTATATGATTTTAAAATGTTGGCAAACTTCAAAAAAAAAAGATCATGGCCGACGAATTGAGAGAACAGTTTTACCCTAAAGCATAAACAGACGGCAGCGTTGATCCGGATCAACTCGGGAATTGACTGCAGTTGATCCGGATTAAGTCCGAGTTTATCCGGATCAACGCTGCCGTCTGTTAAAGCTTTTACTATGTTTTTATCATGGCTTTTACTATGTCCTAGTGTACTGGAACAAACTAAATCCCAATTTCAGATGACCTACTTAAGTAGAGATTGTTGATTAACTTCCACTATTCATTTTCAGATCATACATTTAATCTGCACTTAAATGGCCAGTACTGGCAAACAAGCAAATGCAAGAACCATTTCAAGAAACAAGCAGCTGGCAGCATATTTAAACAAATTTGATCTGAAACTCAACAAAAGCTAAATGGCATTTCAGCAACAACCCACAATTAAACTTAAGTGCCATTTAAATATTCATTTGAAATTGGCCCTAAAGTGAAAAGAGTACTTTTTTTTTTTTAAGAACAAATTGTATCCATGTGAGATACAAAAAAAAAGAAAATTAAGTCAAAAATAATAAATAATTTTTGCAACTTTCTTCTTAGTAAATTTGATTACTTCTTGAAGCGTTGATCCTTTGCAAAGCCTAGTAATCAGCGTTTGCGCTGCTGAATTGGGTGAACGTTCCAAAAGTTGCTATTTGATCGCGTGTTTTGTATGGAAAAAGGTTTAACATGCAAATATATTTTAATAATTTAGAATTTTTGTGAGAAGAAAAGTGCTATTTGATCGCGTGTTTTGTATGGAAAAAGATTTAACATGAAATATATTTTAATAATTTAGAATTTTTGCGAGAAGAAATGAAAAATATTTGACGTTTTAAAGACCAAATAATTAAAACAAAAATCATCTGCTTTACTGATATTACCTGTTCAATATGCCTTGGTCCAAGCTGCTGTAAAATTACTGATGCCATACACAAAATTGTAGAAAATTGTTGTTGTAGGAAATTGCATTTAAAGCAAAAGACAGAAACTGAACTTATGCTGTGGAACTTCAAAGCTTAGAACACAGTTATCTACCATTGTTATTTTAAGGTGACCATAGGAATAAAAACCACAATCATCGTGCAACCCTGTGCGAAACTCGGTTTAACCACCTTAGAGCAAACTAAGAAGCTGCAATTCTGTTTGCCAAACAAAAGTTCGCCGCACCGACCTAATTTGTTTAAATAATGCGTATGTATTTTCTGACAAACGGGAAATTTTGAGTTAATAATATTTTTGAAAAACCTGTGCGTTGTGCATTCATTATAATGAGCTATAGTAAAAGTGGGAACGAATGTATGAACATGTGCACGTACATATCGTATCGTCTTTTCGTACTTTCTAGTAACTTGCCTGTAAGCAAATTTCCGATGAGAGAAAGTACGAAAACGAAAAACTTGCAAGCAGTTTTATGAACACATGATTAATTAATTTTCCGAAGCAATTTCTTAAGAAACCCCACCAACAATTCTTTTTTAGTGTACATTGCACCCAGCATCAGGTCATCAACTTTTGTGTTCTTACTGACAAAGAGTTACTAGTAAAAATTTATCCAGTAATACTTGCAAATTTAAAAGTTTTTACTGCAAAGTGCGCAAAAATTTTTTAACCCGCTTTTCTAGGGTTTTTGATTGTTTGGATTATGATACTCTTGCAGCAAAGGTACGATATGTATATGTACATGAGCGAATGTACATACATACATACTACCCAGACCACAATCAGTTCGTACACCGAACAACCGATGAGGTAGATGTCGCCCTATGCACTAGAATTTTTTATAGGAACTTTGCAAAGCAAAGGTTTTATAGCTAAAAATGGTGTCGGGCACACAACATACCAAGTTGATAAAAGCTTTGAAAAAAGAGAACCATTTTGAAATATGAGTATTTCTACTCTCTAGAAAATAATTTATGCAATCTCACATACGCGGTTTTGCATTATCTTGATACCCGGTTTTGCATTTTGTTGATACGCGATTTTGCATTTTGTTGATACGCGGTTTTGTGCTTTAAACGACGATATGTATGTAAGTAGTAGCGGCACATTCGGTGAACTAAATGCATTCATACATACAGTGACGAACAAAAGTATTGGCACAGTGAGTTTTTCGCCATATATGCAAAGTTGTTTATTCTAATTTATTTTCGATCATTTTTTATAAAAATATAGTTCGTTTTACACCAGAAAACGTAATAATAAAATCACTAAACTTTGTGCAAAACTCAGGAAAATTCTTTAAATTTGCACACTAATTTGCAACTTTTTATTCAGATTTAAAAAAAAAAAGTTCAATGTATGCAGTTTTATAGCCCATTCAAATTTAGTGTAAAAAAGTGCAAGTTTAAAGTTGCTAGAACATCGCGTTGGTTTTTGGCAATTTTTTTTAGTGGAAGGTGTTGCTCATTTTCTCCATACAAAAAATAATTGTCGAATTACTTTGTATGGAAGAACTTGCGTGAAAAAAAATTACCAAAAATCAATGCGATTTTCTAGCGACTTCAAACTTGCACTTTGTTATACTAAATTTGAATTGGCTATAAAACTGCATACTTAGAATTTTTCGAGAAAATCTGAATAAAAAGTTGCAAATTAGTGTGCAAATTTGATGAATTTTCCTGAGTTTTGCACAAAGTTTAGGGCTTTTATTATTATGTTTTCTGGTGTAGAATGAACAATATTTTTATAAAAAAATATCGAAAATAATTTAGAATAAAGAACTTTGCATATATTGCGAAAAATTCTCTGTGCCAATACTTCTGTTCGGCACTGTACATAATTATGTACAACTGTAGGTAATATAGTACGCGTCTTCCCAGGTAGGTTAAGTGCGGGTGATAAACCCATGTAGCATAGTTAAATACTGTGTACGTACCTGCAATTAAGTTGGGGAAAAATCATATATGTAATACTTCTATATTGGCAGTAAGCTAACTTCTCAATGTGTAAGCATTCCGAAATCAAAGCGAGACAGTCTAGTACCGTTTTTGTCAATGTATTGTGTACTTGAGTGCCGTTTTTGTATATGTGTTGTGTACATGTTTATTTATAAACGTATGTTTTCCTTTTATTTCGTACGTGTTTATTGATATATCTGTACTGTAGTGTTTTCGGACGGTACTAGCTCTTACTGCCAATATAGGAGTATTACATCTATGGGAAAAATGTTAAAATTTCGGCATGTGACTGAAAAAAATGCTAAAATATACACAAATTGTGGTTTCCAAGATATATACGAAGTGATTAGCACAGCTGCATCCTTCAACTTGTCAACTCCCGGGAAATTCCCCAATTTGCAGTGAATTTCGGGTTAAGTGGCAATCGGGGAATGGATAATTTTTTTCGGGGAACTGGGTATATTATTTTTATATCTTAAAGTAACCAAACTACACGGATATGTTAATTTTTAACCGTTTTACCCTTTTTGGAGCGACATTTTTTCAATTTGAATCGCAACAAGAGTTTTCCCAGATATAAGCTATATACCAGATGAAAGCTAAGGTCTTGGGCTAAATTTGTGGAAACCTAGAATAAAATCGACTGACCAGCTTTTAGGAAATGCCCGAATTGTATATTTTCCCCGATTTTTAGTATTTAGGCGATGACGTTATGAAATATTTGTATTTTATAAACACAAAAGATAGCTTTAGATAGCTTGTTTGAAGACCCTTCTACTGATATCCGCATCAATGACATGGACTGAGTAGTGCGGCCTCAGTGGTAGTTTAAAATTGTCTTTTTCGAATTTCAGGCAGCAGCCACGCCCACAAAGGCATACGAATCAAAACATCCTGGAACAAAACCTTCTTAGTTTTTTTTGTACTTTAACTCCTGAAAGTTTGAAAAAAATTAAATGAAGGTCGGTACAGACGCCACATACGTACCAAAGCATCTCGTAGTGCAGACACGAACCCAAACACATTTACCTCTATATCTTTCCAACTAGTAGCCCGAACTTAATATATAAGGTATCGTTTGAAAGGTATTGGCAACACTTTAGCCTAATTTTTAAGAATTCGGTTAATCGTTTATGAAGCTTGAATACATTTTCTGGACACACTCTGCAATACCTTTCCAACGAAACATCAAACATGTCGATTGGACGTCTGGGTAAAAACTTCCAAATCTCGTGTATATATAAGCGAGTGATTTCACATGCTACTGGGGCTGCTTTCGTCACCCGCGTGCACTGCCATGCGCTGTGATAATAGTTTCAAGCGCAAATATTAAAAAATGTTCAGGCCTACGAACTGATTGTGGTCTAGGTAGAATGTTTGTACGTACATACATATGTAGGTACGCTTCATATACAAATAAATACAATTGGGAAAATATATTATGTGAAAAATTAAAACAAGCTCACATGCCTCTATGAATAAACACTGTCAAATCTAAACTTCCAATAAATATTTAGTTAAAAAAAAAAAATCTACATAAATCTCCGTAAACCAGTTTCATCTATTTGAATAAAACCGGAACGTCGATGAGCATGTAATCATATAACTTTGAAACCCAATGAAATGGATGGTTTTAACTTTCAAGCTCTTATAAAATCCGACATGACCTCGCCTTGTGAATCTCAGGAAATCGAACACAATAATGGAAACTTAAAAAGCAATGAGTTAGTTTTTGGCTCGCAGCGCGTTACTCTAAATTCCAGCACACCTTATTCAGATGCGACACAGGTAAGTTTGCGATAAAATTTGTTATCTATATATATAAAACAAAGTCGTGTTAGTTACACCATTTATAACTCAAGACCGCCTGGACCGATTTTTATGATATTTGTTTTTTGAAATTGTCTACCTTCCGAATAGCGGGTTATTAGTAAAACCCGTATTTATAGTCCGATTCGCCTCATATTTGAGATNATTAAACAACCGCTAGGTGGCGCTGGAGTCGAGTTATTAGTAAAACCCGTATTTATAGTCCGATTCGCCTCATATTTGAGATATGTATTGACAATAGGAAGAGCAACCCATTGCAAAAATAAAAAGGCCCCCGCGTTGGAGTCGAGTTATTGCTAAAAATCGTGTTTATGGTCTGATTATCCTCAGATTCAAAATATGTGTTGATAACAGGAAAAAGAATTCTTTCGAAAGAATTGCCGCCAGGTGGCGCTGAAATCGAATTACATATGTATATGTAACGAAAAATCGTATTTATGCTCGCATTTATTTCATTTTCGAAATATATGAATTCACATATCGATGGTCCTCTGCAATAACGACACAACCCAAAATGCAAAAAATCAAATCCCTTATTACTGTCAAGAGGCTCATGTCTCTAATCCTTGGCTAACCCATGTCTAATACTAACTAAAGTAAGTAGTAAAGATTATACATGAATAAGACAACGATTAAAGACATGAGCTACTTAACAATAGTACGAGTTTTTATTTTTTGAATCTTGAATTGTGTCGTTATTGTTGAGGACCATCGATATATTTATGACAGGAAAATATACATATGTTGTATACTTTTACAAAAAAAAAGAAATTCAGTGGGAAACCGCCGTTTACGAACAGCTGTTCCTTACCTAACGTTCCCAGAAGTAACGTGCCAAACTTTAGGGGAAGGTAGGTGGGGGGGTTAGCTCTCTGATAAACAAAAAATTTTCAGGTAAAAATGTCACCGTTTTTCAAATATTTACATTTTTTCGAATTAAAAAAAAATCGTGCCTTTTCATGTGTTTTCTTTAACTGCAACTACAAACCGGGCAATACTTAATAAATTTTTTATGTAAAATACTTCCAGATAGCTGCCTCTCCATACTCAAATGCAATGTAGTTAAAATATATTAAGGAACCATCATAAAATTAGGACTATTTCTGGATTTTTAACTTTTTGATATTTTCTTCCCCAACTTTGACTATCTCGGGTGAAAAAAAAATGTACTGAGCTATAACTTTACATTACATAAAAAAATTGCTCATTTAATAAAGATTTCAGAAAGGTGCCACACTTACTGTTTTGAATAGAAAAAAAAAAGTTATAGCCGCTTTTGTGGGTAAAGGACTGAGACACGCTAGAATGTATTTAATAGATTTAAATTGAATTTGCTCTTGTTACCGTCAAATGACATGCTAAATAGTACAAAGGTACATTATTACCTGCTCCTGACATTATTTTATGTTACTTACCGGAATTAGTGAAAGTGGATTTTGTGAAATTGGACCCTTCGAACATTGTGTTATTAATACTATGACAGAGAACACGCAGTATACGTCGCATGAATATGCGGATATTCACCTAATTTACGGTGAAGCTTGCTGTAATGCCAGAGCTGCTCAAAGACTCTATGCAGAGCGATACCCCAATCGTCGACATCCGGGTCGAGAAGTATTCGCCCGGACCCATAGAGAAATATATGAAGGTAAGTGATTTTTACACCTTTCTTGTTTGCTTGCTTGTTAACTATAATTTTTCACTTTTTTAAGGTCGCATACCTGGAAGGCGTGGCGGCGAAACAGGACGTCCTGCAACGGTAGATGTTGAAGCTGTGTTAGAGGAAGTGGAACTAGCTCCATCGACTTCAGTGAGAATGGTGGAAAGACGGACGAGAATACCAATAACTACAGTTCACAAAGCTTTACAAGACCATCGATTTCATCCATACCACATTCAACGTGTTCAGGCTCTACAAGAAAGAGATTACCTGTCGAGAGTTAGATTTTGCCATGAAATGTTGCGAATGCATGAATCAGACCCCAACTTTTTTAATAAAATAATTTGGAGCGATGAATCATCATGCAAACGTGATGGTTATTTTAATTTACATAACCTTCACAGTTGGCAGATAGACAATCCTCACGAAATGAGAGAAGATCGTTCGCAGTACCGGTACAAAATAAATTTATGGTGCGGTATTTTTAATTGTCAGATATTGGGACCTGTGGAACTGCCGCCAACGCTCAACTCTCACAGTTATTTAGAGTTCCTTCAGGAACGGCTTCCAACTCTTTTGGAAGATGTACCCTTAAACCTGCGGCGAAGACTATGGCTGCAAAATGACGGGTGCCCTGCTCACTACGGGCGTGAAGTAAGAGCTCATTTAGACGAAACTTATCCTCGCCGATGGATTGGACGATACGGGCCAATCACGTGGCCCGCTCGATCGCCAGACCTGAATCCATTAGATTTTTTCTACTGGGGCTGTCTTAAGGACAAAATTTATTCAAAAACAATTCAAAACGAAGAGCATTTGCGGGAACAAATAAATGGAGCTGCTGCTGAGATAGCCCAATTGAGTTTAAGATCTCTAAAAGCGTCTTTTCTTAAAAGGTGCCGAGCTTGTATTAGAGTAGAAGGTCGCCAATTTGAGCATATTTTATCAATAAATGAATAAATTTCTCTTCAAACAACTCATGTATATTTTATTTCACGTGAATCCATGCTTCACAAAAAATATTGATAGATATAGCCCTTGTTATAGACTCTAGTCCGAATTCCGGTAAGTAACACAAAATAATGTCAGGAGCAGGTAATAATGTACCTTTGTACTATTTAGCATGTCATTTGACGGTAACAAGAGCAAATTCAATTTAAATCTATTAAATACATTCTAGCGTGTCTCAGTCCTTTACCCACAAAAGCGGCTATAACTTTTTTTTTCTATTCAAAACAGTAAGTGTGGCACCTTTCTGAAATCTTTATTAAATGAGCAATTTTTTTATGTAATGTAAAGTTATAGCTCAGTACATTTTTTTTTCACCCGAGATAGTCAAAGTTGGGGAAGAAAATATCAAAAAGTTAAAAATCCAGAAATAGTCCTAATTTTATGATGGTTCCTTAATTTATTTTAACTACATTGCATTTGAGTATGGAGAGGCAACTATCTGGAAGTATTTTACATAAAAAATTTACTAAGTATTGCCCGGTTTGTAGTTGCAGTTAAAGAAAACACATGAAAAGGCACGATTTTTTTTAAATTCGAAAAAATGTAAATATTTCAAAAACGGTGACACTTTTACCTGAAAATTTTTTGTTTATCAGTGAGCTCACCCCCCCACCTACCTTCCCCTAAAGTTTGGCACGTTACTTCTGGGACACCCGAATATATAAAAATGGTGTGAAAAATGTATAGTAATTCATCAATTGAGAACGGTTGGGCCGATTTAGCTAAAATTTTTTGTTAGTTGTTCGTAATTGCCCGGAGGAGGTTTTTACCAAAGAAAATTTTGGGAAAACTCTCCGGGAAAGTCCGAAAATTGGAAAAATTGAAAATTGATCTTTTTGTATGGAATTTTGTGTGCAATTCTTTCGGAATGGCATGCGAATGGAAAATTCTAAGTGGAAAACTCGAAAAAATCCGGAATAACGCGAGAAATTTGATTTTTTTCGACGAAAGCTTGGAAAATTTCGGATAATTGTAAAATTCATTGGGAGCTTGAATCAATTGGAAACAATTCTCTCCCATGTTTCATAACTGATTCGAATGGGTGCTGCTTTTTTGGAAAGGTGTTTAGAAGAAGAAGTGCACAAAGTTTTAATTTTTCCGATAGTTGGAGCAGGGGTCGAGCTACGCTTAAAAAAATGCAGTTGGTTCGTTGCTAGCCTTTTGCCTAGATTAGCATGTAGGATTCTTTTTTTCCGTTAAGTTGGTCAGAGATAGGATATTATTTCTGATAGGTGGACCAGATACCGATCAATTAAAAAATATCTTATTTATGGTCCGATTTGCTTGAAATTCGATACCCGTATTAAAGATATGCGTAGAATAGAATCGAGTCATTGTTTTACATATCCAAAGGTATTTGAAGGCACCGCAACCATGCGGGTATTGGCTATTTAACAGTACTTATTACACAGGCCAACAAAAATGGAAAAAAAATTGTATGCAACAAATGTTAACGCTATTTTTGACAGATTTTTTTTTTGTGCTGATTACGAATCCGTACACCCAGAAAAAGGTTTAGTTATAATAACCAAGATTTGGTTATAGTGATCAAGTGGCATAGTTGGATATGGCGAAATAAATATATAGTTCACGAAAGTCTGCAATTTACTTAAGACTTCTAGTTGGGACAAATGTATATTTGTTAATAATTACAAAACGACTACCTTGATTGGACAATATTGTTAGTTGAATAAAATCATTGTTGAGCAAATATAAACAATGCTTTGGTTGATACAAGTTCAATCAATTAATTTTGTGAACTTGCTGTAGACTTGAATCAGCTAACCGTTTATTATTGGAAAAAAAGTTTCAGTTTGACACAAATAAAAATTTACTCGATGTTTGTTGTGTTTACTTTCTTCTTTTATTTGCATATATTAAGCATAAAAATACGTACATATTTACATAAGTTAGTTACTAAAGTAAATAATACATATGTATATGGTGGTAAGAATTTCCTAAAAAACAACGATGAAACAGGAACAGTCGTGCGAAAACCCAGGTCAATATCTGCTGGAAGTATACTGCTTTGCTTTTTCCTTAGCTAAATAGACACTTTCAAATTATAATTCACATGAATTATATATCCACTGAAAAACCCCGGTTGGCATCAAACTTTATAATTTTTAATTAAACTTTAAACTATGCGCGCACCGAAACAACCCGCGATGATAGCAAAACTAAAACTGTGACAAACAAGTATGGGCATGTCATAGCACACATGGCGCAGCGATCGACATGCCATAGCTTACTGAGCGCTCTGGGACCACATGCGTGTTTCACCCAT